GGGACAGAGGAGTATCATGTCTGCAACTGACCCCTAAATGACACAGAGCACGACAGTTCCTCAAAATATTAAACACAGAATTACCATAGGATGCAGTCATTCCACTTCAGGGTCTATACTCACAAGGACTGAAAGCAGGATCTTGAAGAGATATTTGTAGGCCCATGTTCATGGCTGCATTATTCAGAAGAGCTAAGAAGTAGAAGCAACCCGAGTGTCTACTGACCAATTAATGGATAAGCAAAATGTGGTATATACAGCTTGCGACCAGGCAATGGGATATATATCAACCTTCAAGAGGAAGGAAATTCTGACACATGCTACAACACGAATGAACCTTGAAAACATTATGCTAAATGAAATAAGCCAGGCGCAAAAGCACAAAACTGTATGCCTGCATTAATATGAGGTCCCTAGCGCAGTCAGATCCATAGAGACAGAAAGGAGAATGTGGTAGCTGCCAGGAGCCGGGAGAGTGAGGAATGAGCAGTTAGTGTTTAATGGGGACAGGGTTTCAGTTTAGGAAGATGAAAAAGTTCTGGAAACCAAGGATGGTGATGGCTGCAAAACAATGTGAAGGTACTTAATGCCACTCAGCTGTACACTTAATAATAATGGTTAAGGTGGTAAAGCTTATGTTATATATATTTTACCACAGTTTAAAAAATGACTTGGAAGTCAAAAACATTTTTAAACTATATTTAGCTACCTACCTATTTATCTATAGAGAAAGAGCAAATGTAATATAATGTTAACACTTGGGGAATCTGGGTGTGAAAGGACTTCTTTGTCATCCTCTCCTGCCGTGGCTGGGAGGAGAAATCTCCAGCAAAGACATCTCAGCATAAGGTAAATAATCTCATCTATCTTTACATCCTGTCAACCACAACCCAACTTTTTCTTACCCTCCTGTCCCCCACAGCTTGAAAGTTCCCTGCCCCCTCCCGTTTCTTTTCCCCATGGCCCTGGCAGTGCTTTCTGGCAACATGATGAAAGTCCAGTAATGAAAAGAATCCATCTCCCAGGTTAAGTGAGGACTTAAAAGGATCATCTTTATTTGTTCAGAGTTTCACTCAGGGAGTTATCCCCAAAGCTGTCCACAGGACAGGCCACCCATATGCCCAGGCAAGTCAATTTGGTGGAAGAATCTCTATGGGCAGCGGGGGTGGGGTACTGAGGATGCTACTAACTCGGTTAGTGACCAAGTCAAGGAACCCTCTATACGGTGCAGTAACCCTCCCGGTGGCCACCATGACATGTGATACGCCAAGGTCGGACCCCCAGCTCAGGGCAGCAGCCCCGCCTTATGGATCCTATCTCTGCCCCTCTCCCTTCACCCAGCAGAACAGGTGCTACATGCTGAGCACCACTGCCCGCCCAGAGTAACTCAAGGGTCTCTCCCACTGGGTGATGTTTACCAAGCCATTAGTGGGAAGAATCGCCCACATCGACTTTTGACGGTAGGAAATGACCTGGTGCCACCAGGGAGCCATGGAGTGAGTCACCTTCTTGTCCTAACCGTTCCTCCTCATGTCCTCTGGATCCCCACCTACCCCCTCCCCATCTGGGGGAAAAAATAAACTAAGAAACCCACCATCAAAGAAATATACACACCCCATGGCCAGCATCCCCACAGAGAGGCGTCCACATGCTCGCTAGAGACCCTGAGAGGGGCATCCTTGTTGCTTTACTCTTGGGGAGCAAACCCTGAAGCCCCCAGTGTCAGTGCCAATGGGAGGAGGGGTGGGTCGGGAAAGGAGACAGTTGTCCCCCCGCCACACACACACACACACACACACACACACACACACACACACCAATACAGGCTGAGGAAAAGCGGCCGGTGCCAGAGGAACACAGAGGCTGTGCCATCCCATTCATTTCTTTGCAGCTTGAGACCAGGCAAAACTCATCTGCGGTGACGGAGCTCAGGAAGCAGCGGAGGAGCGATGGGGGGCAGGGGGTGGGGTAGCAGGAAAGAATGTTCTGGGTTGATGGGAATCAACCACCTTGATCGAAGTACTGGTGACATGGGCATAAATACTTCTCACCAAAGTGATGGGGGCACTGAAGATCTGTACATGTTTTTATACAAATGATTCCCCAATTTTAATAAGGGCAATGGAGGGGGAGGAGCAGCTGTACCATTCATCTGAAGTTAAGAGAAGTAGGTGGCCCGTAATCAAGCGAAATTCTTGGCCTCTGACCACTTTCTGCTCCAAAAGGGCTGGACAGTTCTCCTGGGGGGAGGGTAGCAGCGCACCCCAAGTCCCACGACAATCTGCAGCCAGCACAGCCGCCAAGCACGGACTGTGAAAGTAACGGGGCGTGTGCGCCCCAGACAACACATTGTCTACACCCCATCTACCTGACAAGACCCCGCCGCGCGGCTGCGTCTGACCGATTCCCTTGACCCCATAACAAAGACCCGCTTTGTTCCCTGGTTAATATCCTTAGCAGGTCTGTCTAGACTCACTGTGGCAGTAATTGTCCTGTGATGTCACCAGGACCTGTGACCCGACTCCTCCTTGCCCCACTTGGGCAGAGAAGCCTACAGATGGCCCCAAGCCAAGGGGGTCCAAGCCCTCAACACCCACCTGAGCCTCCTAGGGCGAGAAAGACCCGCAGCCAGCATCCCACTCCCACCACCCAAGACCTGCGGGGAGACAGGAGACTTGAAAAATGCAGTCCCCCCTGTGTGGGGTGCCAGGGGCAGTGGCATTTTTTCCTGGGAAAGAGGAAAGGAGGGGTGCCCCTCTGTCCCCAGAACTCCAACCTCCAGAATGTGGCTGGTGGGAAACAGTTCACTCTCTGGTGGGGCGCCAGTTCACCCAGGGCATGAAGAAGGAAGGTCAGATAAGAGAGGAGAGAGACAGAAAGAAAGAGAGAGCGAGAGCGAGCGAGCGAGCGAGCGAGCGAGAGAGAGAGAGAGAGAGAGAAGGAGGTGGGAGAGGGAGAGAGAGACACCCAGAGAGAGACTGAGAGTGACAGAGAAACAGAGAGAAGGGGAGAGACAGACAGAGAGAAGTGAGCTGGTCCCTGGCAGAGGAGAAGGAGTTCCTTCCACAGGTGGCAACTCGAGCTTCAGAAAAATCGGTTGGGACAGGAAGTAACAGCTGCTCACTCCGCCTCACCAAACACCCGTCTTCAGCTTGAGGTGACAGACATCAACGGTTGCCCACAACTCATGTCTGGATCACACCAAGAACACTCTGAGGCATATTTTCTTGAGGGACGGATTTGACCCATCCAATGACTACACCCTTTCCATGGGCAAATCTGTTTTATCCAGAGTAACTGAAAAGCACCACCAGCGGCTCCTAGCCACCCCATGGGTGGATCCGGCAGATGCTCTGCTGTGCAGAAGGCATGGGACCCAAGTGCAATTCCATTGACACCAAGTTCTAGAACAGGTAAAAAGCACCTATGGAGGCCATAAAGTCAGCAGAGAGGTTTACACCCGGGAGTGGGGTTGGCAGGTGGAGTGGGAGTAGCTGGGAAAGGACACAAGGGGCTTCTGCAATGGGGATGAACAGAGAAGGGGCTGAGAATGTTCTAGGTCTTGATCTGGACTCAGGTGCTGCGGAGGTACACATGTGTCAAATTTCATGGGCTAACACTGCTGTGCGCACTCAGGCTATGTATGGGCAACTCCAGTTTTTTTTTTGTTGCTGCTTTTTTAAGGGAAACAATTGGATCTGGGAAGGTTGGCATTTTTTAGCTGGGGAATGGTGGAGAATTCTCTCTTCTTGTCTCATAAAGTTGAGGAAGAAAACTGAAAGTCTTCTAGAGGTGAGGTCTGGAGAGATGGGTGACTGAAATATAAGGGGTATGTCCCCACTGGCAGCAGGATGAAAAGCTGCCATCTTCCACCATCCGAGTCCCAAAGCTCAGAGGGATTTCCAAAGATTGTTTAATTGATTTTTCTCCTATTTAGATGCAGATCATAGTGTCTGGGGCCCAGGAATTCAGACACACGGCTTTGTGTCCACTCAGCCCCGTGAAGACTCCTGTCTGAAACTTGCACAAAGCCAGACACACACATCTTCAGAAACACGCTGTTTCCTTTTTGTCTGGGGCTCCAGGGAGCGAGTGCGACGAGCAGGGCCTCAGACATGCTCCCATCTGCGGAATCCCGGGGATCCTGTCCCTCTGTTCTGCTAGCAAAGTGGGGTGAAAATTTGTAAAAAGGGAGAGGAATGTGGCCAAGATTTTGAGGTCTGGAAGAAGGGTAACAAAAAAGGTGGGGCACCCCAACTGGGAATAGACACACTGAGGTTTCAGCTTGGATTTTTCTCCGAATTCAGGGCTCTGGAGTGGAAAGCAGGGGATGCTTTAAATCAAGAAGCTAATGGGCTAGGATTAACACGAGCTTGGCTCTGGTCCGTGCAAATCTGATTTATATAAGGAGGAAACTTTTCTCTCTTTCTCTCTGCCCATTGTTCCCCAGTCTGTCCCTCCAAATGCCCCAGCTGACAAAGAAACTGGAAGGCTCAGGACAGCGGGAGAGACCTCCTCCCTCGCAATATGCAGCCTTTGCTTCCTCCAGCTGCCAGGAAGCAACACTGAGGGTCACTGCACCCCCTCTACAAGGTTAATACATCCCCCAATATCCCTGCCTGGTCCCCCAAAACCTGGCTGTGGCATGGGATACTTCCGAAGAAATGCCACTCTGGTTTCTGAGCTGGATGACCTCAGATAACTCTCTCTGTGCCTCAGTTTCCTCATCCATAAAGTGGGCACAAGAATAACTGCACCTAAGGGTTGTTGGGAGAATTCAGCATGCTGGGCAGCAAAAAACGCTTGGCGCAGAGCAAGCACTCAACAAACGCAAGCTACAGTGGTAACTATCTGAGAGGAAGTGTATATCAGACTTAAATATCTCTCAGGAAGCTTCACAGGAGACATTCTCTTCGTAGGTTACTTCCTTTCTTTGGTATCAAGTATTTCCAGAGGAAGCCCAGCCCCAAGCCTGATTCCTCCCCTCTGGATCCAGTTACCTGGACTGCAATCCAGCTGGCATTCACAGTGTGTTCCCCAAAAGGGCCGAACCCTGAAAAAAAATAAGAAAAGCAGCATGTCACCACCCAGCAGCCCCTCCTGGCCTGCCCAGACACAGGCTGCTGCTTTCATCCAGGAGAATGGAGCAGGGAGCTTGGGGAGCAGCTGCCACCTGGGACAATGTCGGGGGCCTGGTCCCAAGTTTGGGATGCACCCAGTGGTCCTTCAGAGCCCTCCATCACACAAACTTGTCTGCTCTTAACAGAAGCTGTGAGTCCTTTCTCGTCCTCACTTTCACCTGACTTTCATGCCCAGCAAGAGGCCAGTGCCCTCCTTTTGCCCCAGAAAAGGCTGGCCTTGTTCCCTTCCCGATTTCTTCCCCTATCCTTGACCCCCAAATATAATATAATTTTATCATTGTCTTTGTGCCTCCTCCCTGGACTCTGGAACTGCAGGGCCATAGGCGGTCTGTGAATCATCACCTAATAAGGAACGGCCCTTAAGGGATGCATGTGTATATCTCCCAGGTCAGGCTGTCCAGACATCATCCCACCACCCTCCTCCCTACTCACTCAAACTCCAGGCCCCATTTACAAACCAGATTCTCACCTGAGGATGTGCTAAGTGCTCTGCATGCCCTGTGGCATTCAGCCTCTCTGTGCCTCTCTTTCAGGCACGGGTGTTTCCTGGGCCCATTTTAGAGGAGCTGGAACTGAGGTACAGAGAGGTGAAGCCAGCTGCCCAAGGTCTCACAGCAAGAAGACGGAAGAGCATGGATTCAAACACAGACCCAGGAAAGTCTGTGGCCTCCCTCTTCTAATCGCCCCCAACACACCTAAAAAATAAACCTCTCTAAAAAATAAACCTCTCTAAGAAAGGCTGTCATTGAACCATGGGTCACTCCAGTTGGGCCAAGTATCCCAAGTGGTATCATGGCCCTGGGAGGGATACTGTTCCCTGGATCATCAGGGGGCCCCCAAGTAGGGTCAGAACCTCTCCACCCCTTTCCTCCTCCTGCATGGACCAAGTATGAGTCCCAGCTCAGCCACTTACAAACAAGGTGACCTCTGTGAGCCTCAGTTTCCCCCTCTGCAAAATGGAGGCAGTAAAGATTTAACGAGCTCATGCAAGAAAAATGCCCAGTCCCGTGGCTGCCTGCTGAGTCAGGACTAAAGTAATAAATAAGCAGATATAGGAGGGCTGCAGGGGAAAGTGACCCTCTGGCAACTTGACACACCTGTTTGTCAGATAAGTGGCTTCTTCCATATTCCTGGGAATTCCAGGACCAGCCCAAACCTCCCTGGACCACAATATACCTGTTCGAACCTTAGCTGGATTTCTCACTCTGACCCTCCTGACAGGGTCAAAATACCGCACCACCACCCCCACCCCGACCAGAGGCCTGGCAGAAATTGACCGCACACGAGGCTCCGAGGAGCCTAGAGGAGAAGCAGTTAGTTTTGGGGAGTCGGTGACAGTGCGGCAGGGGTCCAGGCTCACCCACAAACAGCCCAGGCAGGAAAGATTTTGACCAAGACAGTCCTTGGGACAAGCGGAAGAACGGCTGGGCACCCGAGGTTCCCCAAATTTCACCTGCCCCTGCCTGGGGGGAGCAGCCCCCCGTTAGCGCAGGGCTCGGGGAGCAGTGGCTGGCAAGAGATTAACTTATCACGGGGGCACTTCCTGCCCGCAAATCGACCTTTGTCCCCTGGGACCGGGGGTGGTGACAAACCCGACCTCGGGAGGGGCAGGGAGGAGTCCAGTCCAGCCTGCCGGCCGGGCAGACAAAACAAACAAGTGCCCGGAGGGTCCCTGTCCCCAACCGGGGAAGGAAGGAGGCCAGAGGGGCCTGCTCCGTGTGGGGCACTTGGCAGGAGACCCACGTCCTTGCCTGCCCCGACTCCTGACAGTGGGACCACAGGGGCGCCCCCTTCTCCACTTTCTCTGTCGCGCGGACTGAGCTGGGCTCCCGCGGGCGATGACATCTTCCAAACCTGGGAAGACTTCTAGCACCTGCCCCACCCGGGCCACCGCGCTTCTTCCGGCCCCGCTGCCTCCGGAGCCGCCCGACCCGCCCCCGCCACGGACCGCGGCTGCCGCGGCCGCCATCAGAGCACTACCCGCGTACCCGTCACCACCACCGCCTTCCTCGGCTGTTCCATGGCGGGCTCAGGCTGCGCCTTTGACCCACTCCTGTCCGGCCCGGCAAGCCCGTTGCTGCCGCTGCCGCCGCCGCCGCTCTGCCACCGCGCCGCCCCGCCCCCAAGCCCGGCCCCGCCCCGCCCTGGCCCCGCCCCCGGCCGGCCGCTGGGCGTGCGCGTCCCCGCGACCAAGACGCAGAGTGCACGCCCCATCCCTAACTCTCCCCACAGTAGTGCGTGGTTGCCCCCACTCCCCAACCTCAGTTCACCCACCCGTACGATGGGGACAGTTCGTCCTGCAGGCTGTGGCCGCTTGAACTCGAGTCACACGCTGGGGACGAGCCTGTTATGCATTCCACAATGTTCACCGATCGCTTGCTGTGAGTTATATCGGTGCCCCCCACCTCCCTGTGAGCAAGGCTCCATTATTCGGCCCCTTTTACACCGGGCACCCACAGCTGGGTGGTGCCCAAAGCAGGCTCCTGTGTTGCTAAGGAGGCTGACGTAGCCCCAGATACCTGGGCCTCCCCTCCCTCCTTCTCCCCAAACACAGCTGCTCTAGACCCAGCAGTCCTCCAAGGGCCCATCCAACACAGCCCCACCTTAGGGCCTTTGCACCACTTGCTGTTTCTTCTGCCTGGAACATACCCTACAGGTTCCTGCAAAACTAGTTGCTTCTTCAGGGCTTAGCTGGAACATCACCTCCTCCTAGGGGTCCTCCTCACCCTGGCTGAAATCCCCCACCCCAACTCACCACCACCCCAGTAGATCCATCTCATTTCCTTGTTTCATCCTCTTCAGAGCAGCAATCACATTCAGAAATCATTCCTTTATAGGCACTGCTTTTCTTTTTTTAAATTTTATTTATTTATTTATTTTGGGCTGCGCGTCGTGGGCTTTTCTCTAGTTGCGGTGAGTGGGGGCTACTCTTCATTGTGGTGCACGGGCTTCTCATTGCGGGGGCTTCTCTTGTTGCGGAGCACAGGCTCTAGGCACGCGGGCTCAGTAGTTGTGGCTCGCGGGCTTAGTTGCTCCCCGGCATGTGGGATCTTCCCGGACCAGGGCTCGAACCCGTGTCCCCTGCATTAGCAGGCAGATTCTTAACCACTGGGCCACCAGGGAAGCCCGACACTGCTTTTCTGGTTTATTTCCCTTTTCCTGCCCTGACTTCCAGAAAAGGGTTATGTCTCCATTAGAGCCTTGTGCCTGGCACACAGTAGGTCCCCAACCCACATTCAGCAGAGGCCAGCATTCTTCCAAATATAGCCAAAAAATACGGCTAAGTTTCTGGCCACGTCCTTAGAAACAGGACTGGACCTTGGACGTGGGTCACTGACATCTCATTCCAAGCAGCCTTGGCCCAGATTAGTCAGGGTGCTGACCAAGGACCGTCTGCCTCTGGCCCAGGCCTCAGAATATCCAAAGCAACGTTCTCTGAACTGCCCGGCAGCCTTGTTTGCAAGCTCAGACCAGAGGTCACACACTCAGTGGCTATTTTGGTCTCTGGCAGTTTCAGGTAGAATTCAGAAAGTCTGAAATCCAGCCTGGGCCAGCTGTGGGAGCGAGACCTCAGCCAAGTAGAAGAAAAGAACAGAAGAAAAATCTCACCAAGAATCTGGTTTTATAACTCAAACATGTAATAAGTGTCTGGTACAAAGTGCATGTATTGCTAGAAGCTGGGGATGTGAAGAGAGGGAAACCACAGAGGGTTTCATTTTCCCCCCCATCGCAATGGGAAAAAAAAAAAAAAGGAAATTGATGACACCGAGTTAGCCGTGATCAGAAAAACTGAGTCACATGCTACTGCCGAGAGTGACGGGGGTAAAAGTTAGTATTCACTGGATGCAGGCCCTGTTTAAGCACATCACTGATGTTCTCTTTTTTAATATCACAAATCTTCGGAGAGAGGAACTATTCTTCTCCCATTTTGCAAGTAAGGAAAAGGGACCCAGAGCAGCTAAGCCGCTCGTCCCAAGTCACACATGGAAGGGGCTGGGATTTGGATCAGAAATAAGTGGGTGAGTCCTTAGGGAAGGAAAAGCAGGACCAAAGTCCTTAAGGAAGCACAAGAAGGGCCAAAGAAAGCTGGCTAGATGGGGCTAAGTTGTGTGTTCACAGAGAGAGACACAGTCTGGCTTTGCAACAGTGTAACAAGCAGCTCAGTGCCTGTGAGGGGTGAGGTGAAGGGAGGGTGAGGGATGGAGAGCTCTTTATTTAAAAAACCAAGATGGTTACATTGGAAAGCCAAGTGCAGAAAAGTGGTGCAGCTACTGTGGAAAAGTTTGGCAGTTCCTCAAGAAGTTAAACATGGTTACCATAGGCCCCAGCAATCCCACTCCTAGGGATAAAGCCAAAATAATTAAATAGGTCTCCAAATATTATAGGTGAAAGTTCATGACAGCACTATTCACAATCGCCAGAAGAAAAGAAAACAAATGTTCATCAACAGTTAAAGAAACAAACCGTGGTCCATTCATACAATGGAATATTACTCAACAGTGAAGAGGAATGAAGCACTGACACATGCTACTGCGTGGATGAACCTTAAAACACCAGGCTGAGTGAAAGAAGCCAGACTCATAAGGCCACATACTGTATGACTGCATTGATATGAAATGTCCAGAACAGGAAAATTCAGAGACAGAAAGCAGATTAGTGGTTGCCAGGGGCTGCAGGAGGGCAGATGGGAAGTGACTGCTAATGCGGACAGGGTTTCTTTTGGGGGTGATGGAAGTGTTCTGGAACTAGATAAGAGGCAATGGTTGCACAGCATGGTGAATGTATTTAATGCCACTGGATCGTATACTTTATTTTTTTAATTTTATTAATTTATTGGCTGCGTTGGGTCTTCATTGCTGCATGTGGACTTTCTCTAGTTGTGGCGAACGGGGGGCTACTCTTCATTGCGGTGCGCGGGCTTCTCATTGTGATGGCTTCTCTTGTTGCGGAGCACGGGCTCTAGGAGTACGGGCTTCAGAAGTTGTGGCTTGCGGGCTGTAAAGCGCAGGCTCAGTAGTTGTGGCGCACAGGCTTAGTTGCTCCACGGCATGTGGGATCTTCCCAGACTAGGGCTGGAACCCGTGTCCCCTGCATTGGCAGGCAGACTCTTAACCACTGCGCCACCGGGAAGTCCCTGGATCATACACTTTAAAATGGTTGAAGTGGTAAGTGTTATGTGTATTTTATCACAATGATTAAAAAAGAAACAGCGTGGAAGCACTGATGGAATGAAAAACAAATGTCAGAGTAAGAAAAATGTGTTTGCAAATGCAGAAAATATCTGAGGAAGGAAGAGTAAGAAATTGATAACAGTGGGGGCTTTGGGGAGGGAACCAGAATATGGGGGAGGTGAAAGTGGGGGTGGAGGGGAGACACCCTCAGCATTTCTTCCACTGTGTACATACATGGACTACTCAGAAATAAAAGACGAGGGCTTCCCTGGTGGCGCAGTGGTTAAGAATCCACCTGCCAAGGCAGGGTACACGGGTTCCGGGAAGATCCCACATGCCACGGAGCAACTAAGCCCGTGAGCCACAAGTACTGAGCCTGCGCTCTAGAGCTCACGAGCCACAACTACTGAAGCCCACATGCCTAGAGCCCATGCTCCGCAACAAGAGAAGCCACCGCAACGAGAAGCCCGCGCAACAAAACAAAGAGTAGCCCCTGCTCGCCGCAAATAGAGAAAGCCTGCACAAAGCAACGAAGAACCAACACAGCCAAAAATAAATAATAAATAAATTTTAAAAAAAGGAAATAAAGATGATACACTCTCTTTTTTAAAAAACAACACTCGATTTTTTTAAATTGTGGTAAAACCATAAAATTGACCACTTTCAAGTGTACAGTTCAGCAATGTTAAGAGTACATTCTTCACATTGCTGTGCAACCAACCTTCAGAACTCTTTTCATCTTGCAAAACTGAAACTGTACCCACGAAACAACTCTCCATTCCCCCCCCCCCCAGCCCCTGGCACCCACCCTTCTACTTTCTTTCACTGTGAATTTCAATACTTCTAGGGATCTCATATGAGCGGAATCATACAGTATTTGTCCTTTTGTGACTGGGTTATTTCATTTAGCATAATGTCCTCAAGGTTCATCCATGTAGTAGCATGTGTCAGAATGTCCTTCCTTTTTAAGGCTGAATAATATTCCACTGTCTGAATGGGCCACATTTCGTTTATCCATCTATCCATCAGTGGACACTTGGGTTGCTTCCACTTTTTGGCCATCCTGAGTAATGCTGCTGTGAACATGGATACACAAGTATCTTTTTGAGATCCTGCTTTCAATTCTTTAGACCATTCAACTTTTCTAACTTCCTATTTGGAAATATTTTAAGACTGACAAAGTTGCAAAAATAATTCCCTCTCCATGGACACTTAACTAAACCATTGTCAAAACCAGGATATTGGGGCTTCCCTGGTGGCACAGTGGTTAAGAATATTCCTGCCAATGCAGGTGACACAGGTTCAAGCCCTGGTCCAGGAAGATCCCACACACGGCGGAGCAACTAAGCCCGTGCACTGCAACTACTGAGCCTGCACTCTAGAGCCCGGGAGCCACAACTACTGAGCCCGCGTGCCACAACTACTGAAGCCCACACACCTAGAGTCCATGCTCTGCAACAAGAGAAGCCAACGCAGCGAGAAGCCAGTGCACTGCAACGAAGAGTAGCCCCTGCTCGCCGCAACTAGAGAAAGCCCGGGTGCAGCAATGAAGACCCCACGCAGCCAATAAATAAATAAATAAATAAATAAATAAATAAATAAAAACCAGGAAATTGACGGTACGACGTAATGGACTCAGGTACCACACCTTATTTCCCGGAGTTGTAAAAACAAACAAACAAAGAAACAAAACAAACAAAAACATTTCATTTGTGAAGAATTTTTCCTTTTAAAATTTCTATGCAATATTCTTAGGGAGAGAATGGAGGGCAGCAAGTGTGGTGGTTAGAGCCAGATCGCCTGAGTTCAAATTCTGCCTAGTTCCTCACATGGTGCCTGCTCTCAGATGAGTTATTTTCCCATTCCAAACCTCAGTTTCCTCATCTGTAAAATGGGGATCAAAGAGTACTGGGGCCCCAGTG